ATATGTCTCCAGAGGTTTGTCAATTATTCCTGAGCTATACTACATATGGAATCTTTCTACAAACTGCTCCAATAAATTATCTTAGTAATCTTATTAGAGTACATTGCCTTATTGGTCTTTCCCAAAGTGATAAATTCCACATAAATTGAAGGGTTCCCAGAATTCATAATCAACAAAGTTAAGAAGTCAAGGTAGCTGTACAAATGATTTTCATGGTGATTAATGCAGCCTTTTTCAGCCACATCCTCAAACACTAGTAATAGCAATAGCACTTATCAATAGCACTTAGACTTATATACAGCTTCAGAGTCCTGTCTAAGTGGTTTACAGAGTCAGCATATTGCCCCCAGTAATCTGAGTCCTCATTTTACCGACCTCGGAAGGATAGAAGGCTGAGTCAGTCTTGAGCTGGTGACAATCAAACTGCTGGCAGTCAGCAAAATTACCCTGCAATACTGCATTCTAACCACTGTGCCACCATGGTTCTTTTTAATAAATTAGATATTGTTGGATAGCTCTGCTTCTTAAAAACACAAGGGAGTTTAATTAGCTAGATTAGTTTATGGATAGGCAAATGGAAAGGAGACAATCTTTGTTTATAAACAAAAACACCCACAATAGAGTATTATAATGATAATAAATACAACCATTAAAATATTTTCAATTATCTTCAATGTGGATCACATAAATATTTAAAATAATCTTTAAGGTGGAGCTGATTTAAATAACTAAAAAGGCTCCCCAGAATAATGGCAGCTTAACCTGCTTCTAACCAACAGGATCAGGACAAACCTGGTTCCTTGTAGTTAGTTAGTGTACAATGTGGAAACACTTACAGAAAAGCATTTCCTCCCAGCTTCAGCAACCCTGATCTCCTGGTAGTATGGAATTACTGTGCCAGCATTTCCGTCAAGGTGCTCATATTGGATGGGACAAATCTGGTTGATGGAAGTGATTTTCAGCACCAAGCCATATAGGGCTTTCATAAGTAAGACTGATCCTTTAAATTGCACCCGGAGAAGTACATGCAGCCAATGCAGGGCTTGTAGCCCAGTTGTTTTATGTTATTCTGTGCCAGTTAGCACAAGGGATACTGCAATTACAGTTTCTGGGTGGTCTCCACAAAAGTGCATCAACCAGGTGATGATGACAGCATGAGTCTCAGGTGCTAGCTCCTGCTCCAGGTTTTAAGTGGTAAACACTAGCTGGGCCCTCTGACCACAACATGTATCTGCTCACTCAGTGGTAGCCATGAATTCAGGAGGACCCACCAAATCACAGAGCTCAGAGGCAATGCCATCCCTTCAAGAGACATCCCTGGGGTCCATAAAGATCTTCAATGTACAGTCAGCAACTCTGCCTTGCATGGATTTAAGTCCATCTGCTTCTTCCTATCCAGGTCCTAACAGCCTCTAAACACTTTAACAAAACCTTGATTCAGTGGTGGGATTCAAATTGTTTTACTACCGGTTCTGTGGGCGTGGCTTGGTGGGTGTGGCAGGGGAAGGATACTGTAAAATCTCCAGAATAGGTGGGTATTTGCCTCCAGTCAGAGGTGGTATTTGCCGGTTCTCTGAACTACTCAAAATTTCCACTATTGGTTCTCCTGCTGAATGCCACCTCTGCCTTGATTGCATTTTGAGTGTGGGCCAGGGTAGCAATGTATAATTGGGTATCATGCACATATGGAAGATACCAATCCAAAGTGACAGATAACCTCTCCCATTAGCTTTATGCAGATATTGAAAGTTAACAGGAGAGGGTCAAAATCTGCTGCGTGCCACACATCAAAAGCCACTGAGCTGGAATTTCTTCCTCTAAAGCACAATGTCCCAGTTCTTAACCCTTGCAAAAATATTCCATCTTTGATGGTATTGAAATCCACTAGAAGAACTAAAAGAGCCAGAAGACATGCACACATCTCTGCTATGTTCTAATATAACAAGATAATTCATTAGCACCACTAAAGTGATTTTTGTGCCATATCCATGCCTGAGCCATGGCCAGAGAATTCATTTATTGTAGGGTTTTATGCAGTTATTTTTCTATTATTGCTTCAAATATTTTCCTAAGGGAAGGTTGAAAACAGGCCAACAATAGGGAGTGACTGTTAAGATGCAGGTGCACTACAACTTATTTCAAGCAGCAGGAACATACACCCCTCTCAGTGGTGGGATTCAATTTTTTTTACTACCGGTTCTGTGGGCATGGCTTCATGGTATGGCATGGCTTGGTGGGTGTGGCAGGGGAAGGATACTGCAAAATCCCATTCCCTCCCCACCCCACTAACCTACTTTCCAGCTCCGTTCCCCTGTGCAGGGCAACAAAAGAAGACCCAGCCGATCAACTGGGACTCGGGAGGCAGAGAATAGATGGGGGCAGAGCCAGTCAGAGGTGGTATTTGCCAGTTCTCCGAACTATTCAAAATTTCTTGCCAGTTCTCCAGAACTGGTCAGAACTTGCTGAATACCACCTCTGACTCCTCTGCAACAAGGCATTGGCTATCTCCTGAATCCAGTGGTCACCCAGCTAGGAGGACATAGATCCAGCTGAGAAGGGTACAGCAGACCTACCCTAGCCACTTCATTAGAGACCATAGACCAAAAGGAAGACTTCACAAGCTATTGTCCTAATATTACTATGATCCCATCCCTCTGAAGACTTTAGTGACAATATGCTGTACTAAATGGCATAGCTGCCAGCTGCTAGTCAGGAGCACAAAATTCTAATAAAAGCAGCTGGCTGACAGCTGGCTAATACAATAAGAGATCAGAAGCAATAGCCTTACAATATTACCATGTAATAATGTTATCTATTTTACTATGATCCCAGTTTTCTATTAATGATCAGCAATTTCAGAAATGGCTAACATGATGCCCTTTGGCATTAGGGTATCCACTTGTCACGCTCAAGACTTTGCTGGTTTAATGTTTAAAATTATTTCAATTTTTAAAAAAATATATAAAGAAAAAGTCAGCACCCCACTGCAAAGTGCCTTTATTTCCAAAAAATATTCCTGGTTTTCAGGAGGCATTGGAAGAAAATAAAAAAGATATGACTGTAATTAATTTTTTTCCCCTTGCCCTGAGAAAACCTTTCAGAGTTGGGAAATTGGGAGAGCACAACCAAGTAGGGAGGAGTTAGGGGATTATGAGTTCATAGGGAATGTCTTTAAATAATGATTATATCAACTCTGTAGGTCTTCTAGAATTTGCCACACCATGTCAAAAAAGACTAGCCCCTGGAATTTATGAAATAGGTAAATAGGGAGAAGGAAGGACCTGCAATATTTGAGCTGATAAGGTGCCATTCTTTGCAATAATACGTAGCGTCAGGAAGTACTTGCTTTTTTTCGGAACAAATAAATAAATTGGCAATTGGGTAGCAATTTGCCATGCCAACATCAAGGCATAGCAACCTGCTTTCACAGAGAAACTGGAATATGACAGGGAAACAAAGTGCTAATCCCTTAAATAGCATATGGCCCTTGTGGGAGAATAGAAACCAGAAAGCTTAAGCAAGGATTAAGTTTACAGTGCTAGAAATATGCAAAGATCATTGCTAGATTTGGAACCCATGTTAATAGATATATCATATTTATAATAACTAGCTTGCTCTAAAATGGATCAAAAAGACCTGTAGTAAAAACTCACATATTTTTTTTGTGATGGAATCTACATATCTTTAACATCTAGATAGTGGTGAGGAAGATATATTGGTAGATTTATGAATGATTAACAATACTGTAGATCAGCAAGGTGATTTAGCAATTAGAAAAACAAAATACGTCCTCTCCTCCTAAGGTAGGTTGCTAAAAGTCTGTTCGGTTTTATCAGGGGGTTGACTGGATTTCTTGGAGGGCTGGATCAGCATTGTAGTTGTCCTGCACAGGCTGGCCCGGGGGAGCAGGGAGACAGGCCGGACAGCAGACAGGAGAGACATCTCCAGCAGCACCCTGCCAGCCAAAATGGGGTGCACCGTTTTTGCTAGCAGAGGCACAGCAGGCTGGCCCTTTGCTACTCCCAGGCTGGCCACACGGGCCACATCCATCCCATGGGCCTTGAGTTTGACACTCCTGAGTTATATCCATCAGGTCAGTGTTGACTCTAGATTTTCTCTGTGATGACATGAGCCTAACATAGTATTTCAGATCTTCCAGTGATGCACTTATATTCTACATCAGATTCCAGAGAATGGAAAGTAAAATTCTTGTGAAAAGACCAAGTCTTGCAAGTCTGAAATTTCCAGCCTCAATTTAATAGAAGTTCCACCTAACAGGAAAGCACATGTTTCATTACTGGCATCTTTAGTTAAAACAGTGTCAGTTAGAAGAACTGGGTATGGGGAGACCCAGTAAGTTAAGGGGAAGAGTGAGCTGGTCCACTAGCTGAGTACCCATATCCCATTAGATCAAAAAAATATTATTTACCAACCACCCTGGTTTGGGATTACACACTATGGTAAATCATAAGCAAACACTGCCTATGTTTTAGCATGAATTGTGAACCATAAACCCCATATATTGAGTCCTGCATAACACTGGACTTCAATGAGTCAAGATAAAATCCAAATCCCATCCATTTCTTCTACGGGCCAATCATGGTAAAAATCTGGGTAATATTAAGAGCTCCAACTCTTTCCAACCATTTAGTGATAGTCCAGATTTCTGCAGTCCTGGTAACTCTATGCATGAAGTTTGGAAGAAAGATACAGTAAAAATCAGCAGTAAGGGAAAGGAAGATTGCTCACCTCTTTTCAAATAGCATTGCTTTCCTTTACCCAAGTTTCTCAAAGGAAAGACTGTAATTCAGCAGAAGCATATCTACTTTGCATGTAGAAACTGTTAGGTTGGGAAAAATTCAAGAGACCCACTATCTTTCAACATAAACATTACTGAGTTAGCATGACCCATATTAATACACTTCACATAGACCACAGTGATGACCCAGAAAGCTGCAGTCCTTCAGCCCTTCCACTCCTAAAGACAGTAAAATCCTTACCCTGTTGATGGCCAAGCTGCCCCGGATATGAGCCGGAGTGATTTGATGCAGGAGAGCAGCCCCCGTCACTGCTCCTAGGATCTGTGCCACCATGTAGAAGATGGCCCTGAGGAAGGAGACCTGAGAGCCCACCAGGCAAGCCATGGTCACTGCGGGGTTAATATGGGCTCCGCTGACATGACCCACTGCTTGAACCAAGGTACCAATGGCCAAGCCAAATGCAAAGGAGATCTGGAGGACATTTGGTGGGGAAGCAGGCCAGTTCAGAGCTGAGCCCAGGCCGAAGAAGACAAAGAGGAGGGTGGCTAGGAATTCAGCAAGGATAGCTCGAGTGAAGGCCACAGAGCGGAGTTCCCACATCATGGATGACAATGGTGCAGATCAGACTGGGTTGAAAGCTGTAGTTACACGTTTCCTTTTTCAATGATGATATTGTATCCTGGAAAGGTGGTGGGACAAAATCCGTATGTATGTGTGGACGTAGGCATAGAGAAAGAGAGAAGGGTGTATATGTGTGTGTGTGTGTATATGTATGTGTGTGTGTGTCTGTATCTTTACCTGCAGAGCAGGTAAAAGTTATTTAAATGGAGGTGGGGTTTGGAAATCTAATGCTTTTTCATTTCTGTTCCAGTTGAGTTATTCCAGTTTAGACTCTGCCTTCTCTGATAAACTGAAAAATTAACATTTGCTAGTCTTTCCTTCCCACTAGATCTTAACCTTTTATTTCATACTTTCAAACATATTTGGCAGGGTTTTTTTGCCATTGTCTTTTTGACCTCTGTTTTCCATTTTTTTAAAGCTCATAGTTTTTAATCTGAATTTATTTCAAGTAATCTATTGGGGTTTTGGGGGTGGGCGGGGTGGGTGGGGGTGGGCTCGGCTTTGAATTTCTAAGCAATGTCCAACAGTTGCTCTTCTCTTGTATCCTGTACTCTCAACTATTTAGATCTCCCAGTATCTATCATCATTGGCCATGCTGGAACAATGGTGGGGAATCATAGTCTCTCCAGTCTAATGTGACTGGAAGTATTACATATACAAATGCAGGGAGAGGAAGGACTAGAATGCCCTCTTTCACTGTACATCTTTGGAATTTTCTAACAAAATCTGTTCTTTCTGGAGCCCTATCACAAATTCCTGCTAAGCTTCTGTATCTGCAACCGTATTCTTTGAATGGGAGAAACATGATTGTGTGGTGCCTAAGGCATCAAACAAATATTTCAGATTTCCTACAGTGCAACGCTCTACAATAGGAACTCGCCATATATCTGACAGCATCTCAGGCCTATTCATAGCAGTTTGGCATCCTTGACTGATTCTGTGATCCCACCACAACAGCACCTTCACCTTCATCTACTATGAATCTACTTTAGGTGTGAACAAATTTTGTTCTGCCAGTGGTTGTATTCCATGCCAACAGTAGATAAACGTATAGGAAGATTTGAAAAGGGGATGGAAAGTGTATGAAGTTATATCGGGGGTCTATTCCATGAGTAGGGATGACGATCAGAATAATTATAGAACAATGTCCCAGTGAATATTTGCTGGCTCCTTCATTTCCACCTTTTAAAATTCCATCTCATGGTCTTTGCTGGATCATAGTCGACTCATACAATTGTTAACCTTGGTTAGAATTTTACTATTTATAGCTTTTAAGCGGTGTGCTTTTTATGCTGTCTTTAAATTTGAAAATTTTTCTAGCAAAGTTGAAAGCCCTTGGTTTCTAGAATAACTTCCTGGCCTTGATATTCAAAGTCTAAGAATGTTATCCTTGTTTCTTAAGTTTTTAAATATTACTCCCTCATTCACTTTAAAATGCTGGTAATATCTATCTGTCCCACTTGAGGTCAGGCAGGCTTTCTCCATAATCCCTTGATCATTAGATGGTTACCTCAGGGAATAGAGATATTGGTTGACATTCAGATATGCAGATATGTGATTCTTAACACAAGATCTTCCTAAGTATGCTTTACAAATCTGCTTGCCCAGGAATCCCTACAGCTGAGGGCTATATCAGGGGTGTCCAGCCTTGGCAACTCTAAGACCTATGGCCTTCAGCTTCCAGAATTCCCCAGCCAGCCAAATTTGGCTGCTTAAAGCAAATGGCATGTATTGATGACTGTTGTAGTCAGGTGATCACATTTTGCAACCTTCTGCCATGTTGAGAAAGAATGAGTGGCCCTAAGTTACCCAGCTGGTCTTTTTTTATGCCTAAAGTGGGACTAGATCTCACCTTGTCAGTTTTTAACCCAAGTTATGGATTTGAAGAAATGTATGTCACTTACATTTGGTTGATTAGAACAATTTATAAGCCCTGTATTATATCTGCATAGATTTTCTATGTAGCTTTCAGTTTTGGACTACTTCTTCTCCAGCATCTCATTCAATAAATTACCAATTCTTCTCGGATGTCCAATTATTTCCATATTATTAAGAGTCTTACCCACAAAATTGGCTTGTCTTCCAATTGAAGACTACCACTTTATCCACTATAACCTTCAGTCTATCCTCTCATACTATAGAATAAATCTATAGTATTTTGTTCCTATTCATCACAACATAATGGTTCTTCTCATCAGTCACAACAATTTCCTGATGATTCCTAAAAAAACTACTTAGCATTCCAGTTCATATTCAAATAAAGGGCAATGGCAGAATAAATTCTTATAAACATCCACCCCTAAATAGATGCATCCTGTTGTGGACCAGGTGGTTTGCAAACTTACGTTTAATTTATTTATTTATTTATTTATTTATTTTGATTTGTCAATTGTTTACAAGATAATAAGTACAAGTGTATACATAGTTGTGAATATATGAAATGGGTACATATAAGAAAAATAAAAGAATAAGAGAAACAATAGGACAGGGACGGTAGGCACGTTGGTGCGCTTATGCACGCCCCCTACGGACCTCTTAGGAAAGGGGTGAGGTCAATAGTAAACAGTCTAAGGTTAAAGTTTTTGGGGTTTGGGGAAGAGACTACAGAGTCGGGTAGAGTATTCCAGACATTGACCACTCTATTGCTGAAGTCGTATTTCCTGCAATCAAGTTTGGTGCGGTTTACTTTGAGTTTGTATCTGTTGTGTGCTCTTGTGTTGTTATGGTTAAAGCTGAAGTATTCATTGACAGGTAGGACATTGCAATGTATGATTTTATATACCATGCTTAAGTCGGACCGAAGACGGCGTAATTCGAGGTTTTCTAGTTTTAGAATTTCGAGTCTGGTGGCGTAAGGTATTCTATAACGGGTAGAAGAGTGGAGAACTCTTCTTGTGAAATACTTCTGGACTTTCTCAATTGTGTTAATATCACATACGTGATAAGGATTCCAGACTGATGAACTGTATTCGAGTATTGGTCTAGCAAATGTTTTGTATGCTCTGGTTAGTAGTGAGATATTACCAGAGAAAAAGCAACGTAGGATTAGGTTAACAACTCTTAATGCCTTTTTGGCTATGTAGTTGCAGTGAGCTCTAGCACTTAGATCATTAGAGGTGAGTATTCCCAGGTCCTTTACAGAGCTTGGGTCATCAACAAGATCTTGACTATTCAGCTTGTATTTTATTTTCTGATTTTTTTTACCAATATGTAAGACAGAGCATTTATTTGTAGAGATTTGGAGTTGCCATATGTTAGACCATTCAGATACATAGTCTAGATCTTTTTGAAGGGTAGTAGTATTGTCTGTGGTATTGAACAGCTTTACATCATCAGCGAAGAGAACGCAATTGCTCTTGATATGATCACAAAGGTCGTTTATGTAGATTATGAAGAGAGTTGGTCCTAGAACACTGCCTTGGGGAACACCACTATTGACAGGTACTGGATTTGATAGGGCGTTCCCAATTTTGACCATTTGTTGTCTGTTTGACAGGAATGCTTCTATCCAGTTATTCAGTTGTCCAGAGATACCATAAGATTTTATTTTTAGGAGTAGTTTGTCGTGTACCACTGAATCAAAGGCTTTGCAGAAGTCTATGTAGATTGCGTCTATTGCTTTGCCCTGGTCGAGTTGTGTAGTCCATATGTTTTTGCAGTGTAAGAGTTGCAGATTACAGGATAGTTTTTTCCTGAAACCAAATTGTTTATTGGAGAGTAGGTTGTTTGTCTCTAAATGGAGGATGATGGATTGGTTAATAATTGATTCCATGACTTTACAGGTGACGCAGCATAAGGAGATTGGTCTGTAATTTTCAACTAGGCTTGGGTCTCCCTTTTTGAAGATGGGAATGACTGTGGCTTGTAACCATAGGTTGGGCAAGGAGCTGGTTCTGAAAGATTTTTCAAAGATTATGCTTAGAGGTTTGGCTATGGCAGCGGATAGTTTCCTTAAGAAGTAGGCACATATTCCATCCGGTCCAATAGATAGAGATGGTTTTAGGTTGCGTAGTGCTTTTTCAACGTTGTCTACTGTAAAATCGATATGTATTAGATCATTATTGTTGTCTGTGGTACGGCTAGGAAACATTGGGCATGATCCATTACTGTTTACAAACACTGAGCCGAAGAATGTGTTAAAGATGTTGGCTTTAATGGTGTCGTCGCTGCAGTCTTTACCATCAGGTCCTATCAAGGGAGGGATGGACCTTGAGTCTTTTAGTTTGTTGTTTACAAAATTGTAAAAAGCACGGGTGGAATTGGTGCTTAGAAGGTTTTCCTCTTGTTTAATGTGGTAATTGGTGCATTCGGTCTTTATCTGGTGGCATACATTTTTGTATCGGTTTTTGAAATTAGCAACGTGACCAGATTTGTTTTTCCGCCAGAGTGATCTCTTTTTGGATTGAAGTTTCCTTATTGATATGGGTAATCTGCTTTTTTGTTTTGTTTTTGGAGTTGTTGTTGGAACATATAGTTTGATGACTCTTTTGACTTCAAGTAAAAATATGTTGTAATGGTCTTCAACAGTATTGCATCCAGTGAATAGAGATTGCCAATCGAGGGATGAGAGATCGTTATCTATAAGATCATAGTTGCCTTTTTTGAAGTTACAACTAGGGATGACATTGTTGAGGTGATTTTTGTGTGGACGTATGTTGAGGCAAAAGTCAATCATATTGTGATCACTACTGGAAAAGGGTTCTTTGGTTTGTATTCGGTAAATTAAATTCAAACTATTGCAGAAGATGAGATCGAGGCAGTTGTTCAGTCTAGTGTTGTTGGTTACTAGTTGTTCAAGACCTAGATTTGTAATAGCATTGTAGAAGGTTGTGTGTATGATTTCAGTTGTACAATTATTTAGGGTCCAGTCAATATGAGGTAGATTGAAATCTCCGAGAAAGATAAAAGGGTATGGGCAGGATGTAGCCCATGTTAGTAGTGTATTTAGCTTGTTTATATGTTCGATGTCATAATCAGGTGCTCTGTAACATAGTAAGAAACGAATTGTGATATTTAAGGATAGTTCACAGATGATGGTTTCAGGAAGGGCAAGCTCCTGGGTAACTTGGATATTTTTTAGATGTAAGGAT